TCTGAGAGATCGGACTGAAAACCTAAGGACGAACGTCCAGCTGCGGAGTAAGTAGACGTTGCTTGATCATTGAAGCGGCGTACGCCCCACAAACCGCTACCCGGAATCAAATATGGATTGTATTACCAACTCTCCGACGTTCTCCGATAAAGCTCTGTATTGTATTTATCGACATATTGTGATAATATCAACGGTTTTCTGAATGGTGGCATCTGGTGCCGGATTCGCATGTCACTGGGACATACAAGGGGACAGCCACATGACGCCTGCGACTACAAAGGGAATATGAGGGGTTGGCGCTGCACTACCCACAGCCCCATCCACATACCCCATATTGAGAGTAAAGCAGAAGAAGTATGACGTACGCAACATCAACTTCAGCATGAGGCATATATGGTTGGCGGCATCCGGTTTCGGATTTGCCTGTCACTGTGGCAAGCCACAGGACGCCTGCGCCTACAGAGGGACCATGGATGGCTTGCGCTGCACCACCCACAGCTCCAACCACATACCCCATATCCAGTGTAAACCCGAAGGAATAAGACCGGGAGGCATGCGGATGGGAACCACGTTTCATCAACGGAGCCGGCCCACACTCCTTCACAGGCAAACACAAGCACACTGTATTTGGGAATCAAGCGCACACAAGGCGGTGGCTGGACCGTAGTCCGCTCCACACTGACTGCATGGAACCACTCTTCGAGCCTAACACGGCCACAAGGACCGTGCACCCGTCCCCTCTAGCAACGACCAACTGTCTCCTAGAGCCAGTATGGACGAGGTAGTGGGTAATAGACAGGTAGGCACCTTGTCAACATGCACATCAAGCGCAGCCACACCGGGGATATCAAACAACAGCCAAACACTTGAGAGAGAGAGAGAAAAAAAGGAGAAAACTTGATAAATGCGTAAGGAAACGGTGATATAAACCTTAATTTAATGAGCATATGTAATAAGTTGTTTACAAACAGATCCTAGCTGAGTGCACGAGGTCAGAAAGTATAGTTCACGGAATGCCACGAACACAAAAAATGTTATGGAAATCGAATACAATTGGCTGAAGCGATGTGTGCAAGTTAATGGAATAGAGTACAGGGAGATATTTATATGAGAAAGAAAAGTATTAAGGTAAAAACTGTAAACCCACCACCTGAAATAAAGAGACTTAGCATGCAAGCACGCGGTTAGTAAATCGAATTCAGCGTGCCTACAAACGCTGTGCCGGCTCGCCGTAATTCTCTGCAGGACCCGTCGTCGCTTCTGTAGTGGCCCCAAATGGCACAGCTCATGGCCCACTAGACATTTGTATGAGAAAGAAAGGCATTAGGAGAGAACCGAAAACCCACCAATGAGGCATATATATATATATATATATATATATATATATATATATGGGAATAGCTACCAGTGACGATCCACTTCTTTAAGCCATGTGATTAGCCTCAGAGTGTCGGACATGCTCTGGAGGTGAGTTACGCGGTAAAATTCCGCACCCATTCCCATTTAGATGTTAACAGTTCGTGACGCTCTTTGTGCAAATATTCGTAAAGGTGGAAATTCAAAATTGCGAATGATAGTGACAGACCACCCAGATGCACAATCACTACACCACGCAACGACGCAGTTCGTTGCCCACGTGCGTAGACCTAGCGAATTAATAACTAATTGAAACTAATTGAAAGACTTTGCATAAGGTTACATGATGTGCATTCAGAAATGAGGATCAACAGTACCGTTAGAACGTAACTCTCCGTTTCTCATTCACGGTGATTCCCATGTGCCCGCACTATTGGTTACCCTCCGATTAACATCAAAGTTGATTTGCTTTTGAGCATTCGGCGTACCCTGGGCCTGGATAAAACGCAGGCGCGGCGGTACGAAGGGATAACAGACAGCAGATACAAAAGTCTGTGGTATCTTGATCAACGATCCATAGTAGAGAACGGTTGAGTTGAAAGTGAGTTGGAAACTGATAGTGCAAATCGACCATAACAAGAGTCGAGACGAGCATGTAGCTTAAGGACAACTCCGAAAATCCGTTAAATCGACGAAAAAACACGTCATTATTGACCATTTTGATGAAAGCTGCTCTAATTTTGTCTGAATGCAGAACGGAAGGCAAAGAGTCATAACTTATGCATGTAGGAAGTCATCCTTTACGTATGTTTCACTCTTCGTCTAGCTTGTTTGTCTGAATGTGTATGCTGTGTACGGACCTCGCCGCTCTAACTACTCTCCTCAGTTGAGGAACCAATGCCCATATGTCAATGTGAACAAACCGTCGGTATGCTCGGTTATTGAATTACGAATGTCAACTCACATTCCGACCAAATTCCGTGGATCCTACCGCAGATAGCTTATTCCGTAATCAATCCAACGATCCCGACAACAAAGGGGATGACGAAGAAAAGGCAATCCCTTCAGTTTCACAATCAAGTTAACTTCCCGTTGCAACTAAGGACGACTTTCAAAATACCAGCCAAAGCGATTCAACTGCACAAGCCGTTACCCACTATCATTATAATATAAAGCTCGGTGGTGAAGTAAACGCGTTCGAAGTACTAAAAGATGAAGTAGTGATCACGAGGGTTGTCTTACGCAAGGACAGAGATTTGCGGCTAACATCGAAAACGGTCTAATGTGCACAAGACCGTCATCCTGGTTTCGTGCGAATGAAGAGATGCAAGAAATAAACAGGATAACAGTCACATCCGAATGTAAGCGAACACTTACTCAAGTGCACAGACTGGAAGTGTTTTCGAAGGACATCTATCCGTGAAAATGATTTGTCACAGTGGCCACACTTGTGTGTTCGCTGCTCTGGAACGGAAAGCCAATGACGAGGCATAGCCTAGGTGGAAGTTTAGGAAATCAAAGCACCAGCGTTCTCTGAACAGTTCACTGATGCAAGACAAAGCGTACAAATACCACACACAGATTGAAAAAGCGGAGTAGGAATTAGACCATGTATGTGGTCGTCGGAAGGGAGATGGCAAATAACGAGCAGGTAGAGATTAATTGAGTAGATATAATAATGTGAAAGCAATCCATCAGTATCGATACTTCCAAGTTGGCAAAGTGAGGTGTTGTCATGATCGTTACACCGTCGAAATACCTCAGTCACATGAATGGCAACACAATGCACAAGCATATGTTGTCATACAAAAGCAATTGGGTATAGTTTGCTGCCTTAACCAGGTTATCAAATTATCACCGCACAGAACGCCCTCGTACGCTTCACTGTGCAATGCTTTGCCTGTAACGAAGCATCATATATATATATATATAATCTTAAGTATACTATTTATAGTACAGATACTGTGCCACTGGAATCATGGCTGAATAAAAAACAGGATGAATAGTAAGAAAATAACAACGACAACAAAAGCATTTTAGTTGTTTGCCACTCACAGTTTATTGAAATTTTTTCAGTTTGTTTTTTTTTTGTGGGGGAGGAAAGAGAGATACCGCAACAAACGGATGCACACGCCCGCCGCTGACATCGATCTTGAGCCATGGCTTCCAAGGTCTTCAACCAACACGTATCCGCATCTCTCGGACCCCAACCAGGTAGTCGACAACAACCGGCCGAGGCCAACTGTTTCGTCAGCTTTTTCATGCGGCTTCTCCAAGTTGCAGGCTGTCCACCAGACCGTCTCTTCCAGCCCTGTCCAGCAACCGCAAACAACGCACGACGCGGGTAACGCTGAACAGGCATGCGCAATACGTGTCCCAGCCACCGCAGTTGATGCAGTGAGACGAGCTCCTCGAGCGAGTGGCTTCCTCGTCCCAAGACACGCTGTCTAACTTCCACATTGCTTACGTGGTGCCGCCACCACACACGGGCAATGGACCGCAGACAGCGGTGCTCGAAGACGGATAGCCTGCGCAAGTCATCTTTACGAATGGGCCAGGTCTCGCATCCGTACAACAGTACAGCACGAACAGTTGCACAATAGACCCGCCCTTTGATGGAGAGACGAATGTCGTGGCGACGCCACAAGTGCCTCAGCCTAGAAAAAGCGAGGCGTGCTCTCGAGATGCGCATCGAAATCTCGTCTCCAACAGCCCCGCCAGCAGTGATGCAACTTCCCAAGTAGACAAAGCTCTCCACAACCTCTAGTGTCTCACCACCAAGAGTGAGTGCAGGCACAGGCACCTGCCAGTCTTGAAAGAGAGCCTTGCATTTGGATGGCGAAAAGTACATACCATACTTTGATGCTTCAATCGCCAAGCGGTTTAGTGCAAGTTGGACGGCGTGTGGATCGTCACCCAGCAAGACGATATCATCAGCATAATCCAAATCAACAACTCGACTACCTGGGAGGAGCTCAACGCCAGCGTTCAACGAATCGCCCAGAGCGTTCTTTAGGACATCCTCAATGGCAAAGTTGAATAGGAACGGAGAGATAGGGCATCCTTGTCGAACTCCACTGGAGACCACAAAGGAAGGCGAAAGCTTGCCATAAGCCCTAACCCTGCCCGAGGTCAGACCATAGAGAGCGCGCAGTATGGAGACGAACTTCTCGGGGACGCCATTCCTCAGTAGGCAGTGCCACAGTACCGTCCGATCGACAGAATCGAAGGCTGCACGGATATCCAAGAACACAGCAATCGTTGGCCTCTGATACACATGGCGGAGCTCGAGGATCTGGCGGAGTGTGAAGATTTGATCGATGCAGCCGCGACCAGGGCGAAACCCAGCTTGTTCTTCTCGCTGCAACGATTCGCGCGTTGGGGATAGCCTGCGAAGTATGATGGACACCAGCAGCTTGCAAACGACGGGGACTAAGCTTATGCCTCTGTAGTTGGAGCAGATTGTGCGCAGGCCCTTTTTGAAGATGGGGACGACTATCGATTCACCCCAAGATGATGGAACTTCCTCTTTCGACCAAACTTTCGAGAACAAAGCAGTGAGTTCTCGAACCAGCGAAGCGCCACCATCTTTAAATAGAGCTGGAGGAAGACCATCAGGGCCGGGGCTTTATAACGCTTCATGTGGCGGAGCTCCTGCTCGATTTCCTGGTAAGAGGGAGGATCTGTGGGGTAGACCACTCGGCACCAGTGCGAGCGCCAGAGGTAGCAGATGGAGCTGGGGGCCAACAAAACTGCGAGCCAAAATGTTCGGCCCATCGCTCCAACCGTCGTTGAAGATTGGTGATTAAGGTGCCATCCTCTTCGCATATTGTTTCACTTATACCAGATCGAACACCTTCGGTGACTCGAATGAGATGGAAAAGTTTTCTGGTATTACCAGAGAGACTAGCAAGCTCCATCTCCCTAGCACGTTCACACCACCAAGCTTCGCGGTCCATTTGCAGACTCCTGCGCAACTCTCGACCAGGGATTGGCGTTCTTCACTGTGTCTGGAATCCGACGGGATCAAGCGGCGTTTGTCCATCAGCGACAAGGAGACGGCGGAAATCCAATGCTTCGGTGGGTGACGGGCAACTCCACAAGTGTCGATACTGGCGGAAACTAAGGCATCTTTGATCTGCGCCCACTGCGAATCGAGGTCACCGTCAATAGTTGAGCCAAGCAATGTTGACAGTGAGGCTTGGTACCTGGTTAAAATCGCAGGGTTTTGTAGATTTGCGACGTCCGGTCGGTAGTGAGCGCGCTTGGGTGATCCTCCGAAACGCATGCAAATCTTAGCACGAACCAATGCGTGATCGGAGTCTAGATAAGTTGACCAGTACGATCGGCAGTCCGTTACGCTTCCGCGCCATCTGTAGCTGATTGCTATGTGGTCAAGCTGGGAGCACTCTTGCGTTTGTGAGGGCGGGCGCCAGGTAGCAGTGTGTCTCCTCGAGTGCCGAAAACTAGTGCTCGAAAGAAACAAGCGATGATCAGAGCAAAGAGCAAGCAGTCTGTCTCCATTGTCTGATCGACTGCCACCGAGGCCAAAACTACCCCCAAGGTGGTGCTCGCTTGGTGGAAGGCGGCCCACCCGTGCGTTAAAGTCCCCGGCAAGAATGACTATATCAGTCCTTTTGGAGGAACGCAGAAGTTCATGTAGCTGCTGGTAAAAGCTATCCTTGACTGCATCCGGGCTGCAGTCTGTAGGGGCGTAGGCGGAGACGACAAACAAGGCACGCTTAACGTCTCGACGCCTGCTTACATTACATGAACCTCTTAATCGGACTGCGCATAGCCGACTGTTGACTGGGATCCAGTCAAGCAGAGCTGATTCAGCCCTGGCACTCAGTGCAACCCCAACACCAGCTTGGCCAGAGGCGGCAGCTTCTGGGTCTCCGGAAAGCCGCAAGTGGTATTTGGCGTCAGGGTTTACCGGAGAGGCCATTCTGATGACGGCGCTAGAGTCTTGTAATCTGGTCTCTGAAAGGCAACAGATGTCTACCGAGAGCGTTTCAAGAGTACGGGCCAGACATGCTTGTCGTCCGATCTGCATCAAAGTTCGAACATTAAACGCTGCGAGGATGAATGGAGAACCAGGTCGAAGAAGAGCTGGAGCTTCGGTGGAGTGAGAGACGGTTGCGATCGCAGGACATTGAAAACCGGGAGTTTGGCTGTTACTTCCATCAGTTGCGAGACGTGGGTCGTTTGTGACGGTGACCGAAGAAGACATAAGAGTACATATAGGTGAAGGACGGGAGGTGGGGTGATCTGTGAGTGGAGGTTGAGGAGTTGAGTTAGCAGAGATGATAGGCATAGCAAGAGCAGTAGTAAGCAGTGTGGTCCATGATTCGTCAGTGGGCGTGATACTACCCGGTTGCCCAGGCCGAAGTAGAGGGTTGTCTTAGGGGGCCCTACCCCGAGCCTTTGATCAAAGATCTAACCTACAAGGCAGCAGGGCGATGTGAGGGCGTCGCAACCCGTTGGGAGCCGGTGACCAAATAGATGGTTCATACGCCTTTCGGTCCGTGAAGGACCAGGGGCCCAACGCACCCTTGAAGTACAATGCCTCTCAGGGAGGGGCAAGGGGCAGTGACTTTATTTAGTGGCGAGTCACATCCGCCACGTCGCAGTGTTGTTAAACAGACATTTGTGGCTTTTTATAGGGAGAACGCTTGCCAGGCGAAAACCCACCACGTCCTGGAACACTGCCGCCGAACCATTTGCTGGAACGGGAAAAACCCGAACCACTCAGCTGGCACCACGAGGAGGTTGTTCGGCAAGCCAGCGAAATAGAAGGCAGTTGCGATATCCAGACCGGTCTCACTAGGGCATATGGGGACCTTTCTCCAAGTGATGGTGTTCACATTCCAGAGATGTATCCACGTGACGCTAACCTAGGCGGAACGTACGTAGAACAATCAAACGCCCGTCGCAGTTAATTCGGCCTGGAGGATAATCGAACAAATGAGGTGGTGAGATGTGTGATAGCGAGGAAAAAATGACAGTCACCATTATGACGAAATCTTGTGATAACTGCGTCTGTAGTGGATCACTGAAGGATTTAAAGCATGCACCTATGGTAAATTCCACTTAATGTACTCATGAGAAGGGGATATTTGGTATCATTAATTGTGGGTGTTCGCAGCCAGCTTCCAAATCAGGTAGTCGTCCACATGTCCGGTAAAACACTAGACTGCAGCTAGCTTGTAAATTGTGACGGTCCGAAGCTGTCCCTCGTGTCCCAATGGCATAAGCTGCTGAATGGCGGTTCAATCCGCTGGTGGTCATGGGATCGTATCCTGATGGATCCGATGGATGCGCACTACTGATGATGCCCAACAGGCTGAAACTGCAGTCTGGTGCTTTTCCGGGCATGTGGACGACTATGTGATTTGGAAGCTGGCTGCGAAGAACCTCAATTAAAAATCCCATTTAACCGACAAATGAGCAATCCGAGTGATGGAGACAGATGACGTAAGTCCAAAGTGACAACACCGTGTGAGCGACGTGTAGCTCCGCAAACACACAGTCCAAGCGCGAGGGCCCGGCATCAGCTCTCAGCAGATACGCACGACTGGCAGTATAAGTAACATCAACCGACAGACAAGGTAGCACCACAATTCTCGTCCAACTTGTCGCCGTGGTATTCATATGTAGGGCCAGGGGACCCATCACAATGAAGTTCATAGACTCGTCAGACAGTCCGCCACCGTGACTTGGACACAGGAGACCGTAGAGTCCAACGCCGGAAGGATACTAGCGGTGATGCACCGGAAATCACTCTGGACCGCCTATCCTTTTCGCACCGCAATCGTTTTACGCGTACACCACTACTATCCACAAAGTTGTAGTTTGAAAGCGATGACCACGTTAGGGGTGTTACGCAATACCCAGCTCACTTCTC